CTGTGGGAGGGGGCCCAGACCCATCAGCTCCCCCTGGTTTGTGCCGGGGGGCTGCTGGCAGGGACGGGTGGCTTCCTCTGCTGTCAGCCCTCCCTGGCTGGGGTATCTCTCAGGCCAGTTCGGGCAGGATGGGCCACAGCTCCTGGCACGTCTGGGCATCTCTCCATGGTGAGACACCCTTGCCCTCCCACTTTGTCTCCCTGACTCACCTCACCACCCTCAACACCCCAGTGGGCTCCTGCCCACCTCTGCCCGTTGTCCTCCAGGGCCTGGTGCAGCCACCAGACCCACATGACCTGCTCCCCGCTGCGGGCGCAGAGGTGCCATAGCAGGGCAGCACCGCCGACGGTAGCCCACCCCCCGCGCTCCTCAGCCCCTTACTCACGTCTCGCAGCAGCCCACGCCGATGGGGTGCAGGCAGGTGCAGAGCAGGCAGTTGGTGCTCAGCCATGACTCCCCGAGGGAGAACTGCTTCCCCTCGTACTCGCAGGGAGCTGCAAAGGAAACAGTGGTGGTGAACACATGTGGGCCTGCACCAGGGCATGGGGGAGCCTCCTTGGCACCCCTGTGCCCTGAAAGAGGGGATGGAGGGGACACCATGACCTCCCACCCATGCTATGGTGCAGAAGATACTTGATGGCTTCTCCACCACCCTGCAGGTATGGGATGCCCAGGCATCTGCCAAGGGTGGTACTCGCATCCATCATCTCCTGGCTGTGCCGTGTGGCTCTCCCCACTACCCTGGGGGCCTGTGAGAGAGACATGTGGCTCTTGCTTCCCTGGAGAGGGCATATCCAGCACCTCTTGGGATCTGAGCATCTGGAAGGAGGCAGCAGAGAAAAGACGGGCAGCCCTCCTCCCTTTGCTGCTAGTCCTGCATGCTCGCTCCCAGCCGGGCTCCTGCCAGGACCTCTTCATGGCCCAGCGAGCTGTTTCTCAGCCAGAGCCCTGGGGAGCTGTTCTGTGGTTTATAGACTGCTCCTTCCACTCATCACTGGCCCACACGATCTTGAGCTCAGCACAGTCCCTTCTGTGCTTCGCAGGCACACAGGGCAGAGCCCTGCCGCCCTAGGGAAAGCTGAGCCCTCCTCTTCCCATCGGCCTCTTCCCATCTCACCTCCCTGCTTACCTTTAGCCTGGAAGTAGCATTTGGCCTGGGAGCCTGGCAGCTGGAGGAGGAGGGAGAGCAGCAGGCAAAGGCTGCCCCAGGCACACCCCATCTTCTGCAGTCGCATGGCCATGGCCGGCGTTGAGCTGGGCTTCTTTGCTGAGGTTGCCTTCCTTCTCTATTGCCTTTGCTCCTTTCCCTTCCCTTCTCTCTCTCTCTCTCTCTCTCTCTCTCTCTCTCTCTCTCTCTCTCTCTGCCTTTTTAATGCTCTTCCCCTGATCCCAACAAGAGATATTTATAAAGTTCAGCTTTACGACCCTGGCCACCAGCTGTGCCCCACTGGAAAAGTTGTAAAACTCATTTCCTGATTTGAAAGGCATGAAAACAAGAGGTAGGATCAAGATTTTTAACAAGCTGTGAAAAGCTGATTCATGCCCTCCAGAAATGTCTCCAGTTGGAAGCCCCTGTGGGTGCAAGGCTTTGCAGAGAGGGAGATCCAAGGGACCCCCAGTGGGGTTGCCCTCGGCAGGGTGGTAAGCACGCAAGCAGCAAGCGTGGGAGACCCTGGCCCCTGACCAGGAGAGCTCCAGTCTCCCCTCTGGTCACATTGAGCCATCCGGGATCCTTCAGAGTCGCCAAGGTTTCCGGAGTATCCCATCTTGCAGAGACTGGAGTGGCACAGGCATCCTGTTAACCACCAGCGTGGGATGCAATGGCACCATCCTTGTCAGGGATGGAGATGCTCACACCCAGCTCCCAGGTACCACAGCATGGCAGTTTCACACCAGCCTGGGCTGCAGCTGTTCAAGGCTTGTGGTCACACACGGGCTGCGGGTGACAGTGAGGTTTTTTGGCCAAGAGCAGGCAGTATGGCGATTGCCACTGATGCAGAGCAGGTGAGAAAGCCTTTGCACAAGATATGACCCAGGGTTTATCTGAGCAGTGCCCGTGAAAGCAGGACCGTGCCCATGTATGTGCATCACCCACCAGATGCTGGAGCTGAGCAGCCCCTTTCAGAGACTGGAGATGGGTCCCAGCAGAAACAGGGAACAGGAGGGATGAAATCAGGAGGCGAAGGTGCATTTGGGCAACAAGTGACCTGAGAGGGAAATGAGGGGCTTGACTGGGAGCAAGAAACTGTGGGAAGATGCCACACCACCCAGGGATGTCCCCGTGGTCGGCACAGATCCTTACCCAGAGGGGCTGCCTCTGGATTGAAATGATAAGGCTGCTACCAGCTGGCAAAGTGAGGGGAGGAGGTCAGAGCCCTGGGAGCCACACAGCCCTGACGAGCTACAAGCAAAGGACTGAGTTGCCAAGAGAAATTCGCAGCCCTTGTCAGAGGCGCTGCCGGCAGCAGGAAACGGGGCTCCGGGGAGGGTCCAGCCAGGGGCTCGGCCAGCACACGTCCGTGCCGGCAGCAAGGTAGCGGCAGTAGCAGTAGCATATGTGGGTCATCTGCCCCTGCGTTAAGCTCCCTAATTTCTGAGAGTTTGGGATAGGTTTACACCCTGACGCGTGAGGCTTAATATCCCTTCCAGAATTTGTGTTGGCATCTGCTATTATAGCTGGATATTTTTGTTATCCCCATAAATGTCCAATCCCTCCTTGAATCCTGCTAAATTTTGGCCTGCACATTTTCCTGTGGCAGGCTAATTAAGCATGGAGTGAAAAAAAGAAAAAAAAAAGCTTCCTTTTATGTGCTTTGGATTTGAAAGCATAGCCCTTTCGCACTGGTCCTCTGGGCCCTCTCACCATCCCGTTGCATCCCCATGCTGCATCTTGTGCTCTCGCCTCTGAGGGTGCAGCTCTGACTTTGCATCCCCCCTTCCCCTCGGAGAGCTACCCCAGCCCTCTCATAGTGTCCTGCATAATGCTGTGCCACTCCGAGTGGAGTGGCCGGATGGCAGTGAGGTTAGGATCAGTTGGAAAAGGATGATAATAAGCCAGGGAAGATCAGAGAATCTGTAAATAACCTGCTGACTGCGAGGCCATGAGCCGGGATGGTGAAGTGTATCAGTGACAAATGAAACTTGTTCTTTGGTACAGACTTGTTACTATATAAGGAGGATAAAAGCGTTTATCGTCGCAGCAGTAAATTAATATTCCTATTGTGTGTTTGGAAAAAGAAGTCTGGCACGCTAGTAACCACAATCAAATAATCCATCATCATTTCGTCAGCAAACGTTAAACAAAAGTGGTGGGTTTCATTTGGAGGCCCGCGTGATTTGGCCAGGCTTCCAGAAGGCCACTGAAAATCTGGGCCAAGAGCATCTCTTGCCCGTCTGGAGGGGCACTGCCCCTGCTCTGTCGGGGACATGGGGAGGCATTCCCAGGATTTCTGCAGCCATTCTGGTTTTCAAATAGAAAGTTAAGGCTACCAGCCCATCTGTGGCCTTTGGGTATTTCATCAAAGTGGTTTGCTGGGTAAATGCAGAGGATGAGGAAAGGGGAGTCAGGACACCCCTTGAAATGTTGCAGGGGGACCTGGGCAGTGAAAGACCCTCCACGCTGTGGCTGTGCATCCAGGAGCAGGGCTGGTGGCCACCTACAGCCTGTCTGTCCCACTCTTCCCCCTCCTGGCTGTTATCCTTCCCTGACTTTTGCATCCCTGGGTGCCTACCGGGCCTCAGCGCACACCCCCGTGGGGCAGCCAGAACATTTCAGTCTGGCTAGTACAGGAGGGGGCTTGCAGCTTGGAAAGCAGCAGCTGTAGTTGGACTCGGTGCTGGAGAGCTTCAGCTCTGGTACCCAAGGGATGCTGTGGCTGGAGGTGCTGACACCCTCTCTGGCTGTGCTAGCCTGTGCATCCTGGAGGAGGTTTTGATCCAGAGAGTGAAAGGGGGCAGCCACTTTTGGTGCTCACATCTCAAGGGGACAAATGAGACCCAGTGAAGAGGCACAGAAGGGATGTGGGGGCTGGAAGAAGTACCTTGCTGTAAGTTCAATCTCTTTGATTTATCAGGCATAGTTAAACAGCAAGGACTGACTGCACGTCCAGCCATGCCGATGAGGAGCAGCCACCACCCTTGACCATCCTGGACCCTGCAGAAAGTCTCAGTGTCCCCCCAGCAGGACCTAGCTTCTCCTGCCTGGCCTGGATCTCAGATTGTGGCAGTGCCTGAGAAGAGCTGGGTGCTGCACCGCATCAAGGGCACAGCATTGCTGGCCTCCTCTCCCAGCAAAGGTTGGGTCCTCCCTCTGCAGAGCGGCTGTTCAAACCCCCAGTGCCGGAGGATGCGACCCTGTGGAGAGGCAGGGGCAAGCACCCAAGTCAGTGGGTGCTGCGATGGGGTGATAACAGCCCATGCCAGCCTTGCAGGAGGGACAGGGCTAATAAATGATGCTGGACAAGTTGCCATCAGCAGGATCCAGGACTGTTATAAAACCTGAATCTCCTGAGCCTTCAGCTGGGACTGCAGCTGCAGAGCAGGAAGCAAACAGGATCCCGGCTGGCATTGTGAAAGCAAACACCATAAATCCAAGGAAGTGCTGCGATTGCTGTTTTAGGCACTGGGGAGCTTGGCTCCTGCTCCCCACAAGTGCTTTATTTTCTCTCTAAACAGAAAAAAAAAACACTAAACCCCAACCCCAACTTATCGCTGGGCCGAGCTCCCTGGGGCTGCTTTGCGCCCTGGGGTTGCTGCGGGATGTGGGTACCTCTCCTTGCCCAGCACCTTGAAGATGCTTCAAGCCTCAGAGCCCCCAGGGCACCAGGGCACAGTTTGGGCAGGGTGCAGGCAGAGTGCAGGTAGATGCCAGCTTTGGGCTATATCTGCTCACCACTCACCGGAATGGCCAGACTCCGGGGAGGGACTAGCAGGGGGGTCAGAGAGAGCTGGGCAACCAGGAGCTGGGAAGGGATACAGAAGGGGACAAGAGGATACGCAGGGAATGACAGCCGACTCACTCCAGCCTTCATCCCACAGCTGGTAAACCAGATGGAATAGATCGTGGAGGCTGGAAGTACAGGTGGGATCAGAGCTGAGCCCACCAGGACTAAAGCTATACCACTGTTGCTCCAAAAAAGGGGACAAAGCAGAGGGAACCTTGATGTCACTTTACTCTCCAGGCTGGCTGCCTGCTGGATGGAGCTCAGTGCCACCAGAGGAGCATGGGCTGGGAGATGTGCTGGCATGTCCTGTGTCTCCCATGGGAGTTCTTGACCTCAGCACCCACACCCTGAACCCTCATCACAGGCGAGACCCGTTTCCACCCCAGGCGTTGGGTGCAGTGTTTTGTAGGGGCTCTACAAGCCTGGATTGGATGGTGTCTGTGGGCTCTGCCCACCCCACGCTGGGTGCCTTCTCCCAGCAGCTGGAGACAGGCAGGACTCCATGGTCCAGGCAGCCCCACGGCATGGCTGCCTCTGGCTCCTTTGCCCTCTTGCCCTCTCTGACATGGTCTCATCCTCCCTCAATCATCCCCATGCTCCATCCCTCTCCATCACCCTTTGGCACTCTCCCGGACTGTTTATCCAAGCTGTGGCCGCTCTGTGCCAGGTCAGCTTTTGACACTGGTGGGTTATCTAAGCATCCCCACTGCTCTCAACCCTGGCAGGGTGCTGGCACCCACCCTGGCACCCCAGTATCCCGGATACCCCAACACCCTAGGTATGCTGCAGCCTACGGCTCTGCCTGGGCTCCCCTCAAGGAAACATGCCGGGAGAGTGCGGGGTATTTAGGAAAACAGGCCTTGGCACTTGCTGGCCATCCCGGGAAAATAAAAACATCCGGGCGGGCAGCCGCGCAGTGAGTGTGAGAGGCCGGCACTCCATAAATCCCCTGGAGCAGGTGCTTTGTAGTCGGCACAAGGAAATGAGCACATTATTCAGCTCGGCTTAAACCCCAAAACGTTTCCTGTCCTGTGAGTCAGAAATAACCCTGGGAGATCATTCCTGGGCCACGCAGGAGCTGCACCAGCCAAAAAAAGTGCCATGCGCCTGTTGGGCCTGGGGACCTGCCGGGGAGGTCAGGGGTCCGGGCACCCCGTGATGGAGGGGACTTTGCTATGGCAGTGCCATGACACAGGTGTTGACCCTGGCATGTAACTGCTCTGGGATGTTCTGGGGAGCCCCTGGAGACTCCCAAACCTGTCCTGGGCACCATGCTTCAGTGGGTTGCAGAGACAGGG